TAGTACAAAGTGTTTTCAGACGGCCGTGTGTGAGATGCTATTGAGGTAAGGTTATTGACGAAAACATGTTTTGTCTTGTGATCAAATGTTTCAGATACTTATTGCTCTTTTTAAAAAAAAGGTCTCCTAGCAACCGAAATGACTAGTATTCCCGTTAACCCCTCCGGCTAATATATATTGCTTGTGTTAGGAGTGGGTTCACGTCGGTAGTGTACTGGTCAGAATTTGAACCCACGACCTCTTGATCGCAAGTCTAACGCCTTAACCACTAGGCTACCGCCGCTTTTGTAACTTAGGTTTTCAAAAATTAAAAATAAAATGGCGTGACGGGTATATGTGGACCCCCGGTCCGAACGAAGTTCCTTACGCTTTTTGGTAGACGTTTGCTATTGTGTCGAAAAAAGTCTTCTAAAGTAGTCTTCTAGTAGTTCATACAAGGCTGTAACTACAGCAAGAAGTGTCGGAAAATAGTCTTGTTACACATTTTTCGGTCTTGCTCCCATCCGCTCAGAGCGTGTAATGCGCGATAAGGAACTTCGTTCCAAAAGCCAACAGACGAAAAAACGCTCTAAGATATTAATGTTTTAGCTGCTACTTCACGCAACAACTGTCGCTATACCAATACACCTTACCGTCTGGCCAGCGTGGTATAGTAGGCCAAAACCTTCTTTCTAAGGAGAGGCACGAGCACTTTATAATTTAGGCAATCGTTGTTCATTGAGGCAGAAATTTAAAGAAATAAATATAATGACAGTGACAAGTCAATATATTTATGAAAATGTAATATATGTTCACAAAAATAAAGATAGCTTTTTGAAAAAAAGTGATGTACATGCCATAAATACCAGAAATAAAAATAAATTTGTTGTACCCGCCTCTAGGCTCCAAAAGATAAACAAGTCTTTTCGAGGTCAATGTGTCCGATTTTATAATAAAATCCCAAATAATATTCAGGAGTTGAGTATTAACAAATTTAAATCCGCAATAAAACGTGGCTTGTGCCAGAGGGCCTACTACTCGATTGTGGATTACATGGAGGACAAGAATGCTTGGGATTAATTAGCGCAGGCTATTTCTTTCTTAAGTAAAAATGTGGTGTGGCTAGTATGTTTTTTATTATTATTATTTTTTCTATTTTTTATGTTTCACTTCATTTTCTCTTGTATTCGTTTTTTCTTCTTAATCTTGTTTTCTCTTCGTTGTTTTTTCACCTTTAAGTCCTTAATAACGGACATACTAGCACACATCAAAACAATGTTGTGATATATTTAATAGTGCCATTGTATCTACTTGTGAATTGCAAAAGAGTGGCCATGAGTTTGTTTGCCCTTTCTTCTCATAAGGCTCAACCCCTTGGAAACGGGCGGTTGTAGATCGGCACAGGCATATCATAGATTTTGTATGGGTTTGATTTTTGTTAAATTTATTTGGTTACTATTTGACAAAACAGAGATTGTTGCTTTTGTGTGTGTTGATCTATGACTTTAGAGTCTACATAAAAGACGTTTTCAAACAATTTAAATTTTTTATGAAATAAAGACAGTTTGAGTTTAACCGCCGGTTTTCTTCATAAAACAAGTACATAATAAAACAAGGAATAGCGGGAAGCCCACACGGGTGGGTATAATAAATTGTAAATGTTTACACCTGGGATCAACAAACAATGTTAATTTTAAACGTGATGCGATACAGTAAATATCTGAGTACATTATTAATGCTTATTCTGTTTACACTTCTACGTTGAAAACTTAGTCAAGATTTTTTATTTATTTATATTAGTTAGCTATTGATAGTATTACTTGTAACACCGTTTCCTTGTGAGGCTTTGGCATATGGACCGGCATTTTCACCATTCAATTTTTCTTTCAAGATTTGCAAAGTATTGGCATTATTAAAAATTAATAATATTAATAGGAATAAACAAACAAAACTGTAACTATTATTCCTAACTTTGAATCTTTTAAATGCCATGGTACAGAAGAAGCCCAAATGGGACTTAAGTAATAAAAATTGTGCGAAATAAAATTATTGGAGATTTGGGCATATCCCATACGATTCATCCCTAAACTCGAAAATCTTTACTTTCATTTTAAACTAATTCTTATTGCACACATGCATAAATATCATAATAATAATCACTGAAGAATTTTATCATAAAAAATTGCCTTATGTTTGATATATTTTTACGATCATGTTACTTTGGAACTGCTCATCTTCTCTTTAAACCTTTAGACATAACGGCTCCAGATTATGCGTTCTAAATCTCACTTTCACACCTCAAAAAAATGACTTCCTAAATAAAAAACATATTCACTCTCAACACCAAGACACACTTGTATAAAAACTCCACAAAATACCCACGGGAGGCGCAATGAACACTCCAACAATCCCCAAACACCATTTCGCACCGCAGACAGATAAGCACTAGCCGGGAATAGAACCGTGGATGTATTTACGTGCGCGCGCTTCACTATATTAATATCTACTAGTTCATGCGGTGCGAAAGCGCAATTGGGTAGGACTGGACGTTTTATGTGTGAGTGAAGAATTAAAACTATTTCATTGCTGTTTGAAAAACTAAGAGCGGTTTACTTATAAAGTGAAGGAATTACATGACGAAACTTCATTCGCTAAATAGCAACTGTGAAGCATCATCGATTCGAAAACCTTAGAGATGTCAAAAGCCAAGAGAAGAAATACTTCTAAATAATATTTTAGACTGCTAATAAAAATCCTAAGTATTCTTCACTATTTTGTGAATAATAAGTCTTTATTGTGAGGAGAAATAAACGTTATTATTATATTGTATACTTGTGGATTACTGTATAGACTGTAGAGGACTCGATGGAGAGACTTGTAGTGCAAGACCACGGGGTCGGTGCCAAACCCTCTGGATCGACCTAATTGAAGCTACCACTGAATCGACTGCAATATCAACAGCCACGACCACTCTAGCTAGTGTCCTACTGATTCGATACTTGTGGTAAAAAGATATTAACAAAAGCTTATTCAGAGACTATACTAGCTATTTCTTGTAGCTACACTGCCGTTTGTGGTCACGATCTTGTTGCTAAGAGTCGTAGCGTAATGTTACGTTGCCAAAAACCTGCCTCCATAAACAGTCTATCTACAATAGACTGACTTGGAAAGATTACTCTAATCCAATACAAAAACATTTTATTATTAACTAGCTGACTCGTTCAACTTCGTCTGCGTCTTTTAAAAGGAATATTTTTTTCCCGTTTTTGCAACATTCGTCATTGGTGCTCCGTTCCTATTGGTCTTATAATATTAAAATATAGATTTAACTGGAAGTTCCGGCGTTAAAGGAGAACTTGAAAAGATTACTCTATCTAATACAAAAATATTTTATTATTAATTTAACCGGTAGTGCCGGCGGTTAGCGTGTTCAACGAAATATAAACATTCTTTAAATATATTATATAAGTATGGTATAATTACATAATACACTCTTTCTTTCAGTCAATTAAAAAGTGAAATTTTTAAGTACCTACATAAAATTAGGCATATTATTATGTACATATTACTGATGTCTTAATAAATTATACGTTTTCTTGTCTATTTATCTGTTCTTCTTTTATGCTCTGTGATAAAATGAAAACAAAAGTAAAAACTTTGGTATTATTTATGGTATGGTAAAGATGTCTGATCTTTGCCGAACGCTCAGCAACAATACACTAATTATAAAACACCATAACTACAAACATATTTCTATAACTCCGTTGGCTTCATTCCAAAACCCATCACTCAAACTGTTATCGGCTGTTACCGAAACTATTTAGTCGTCACTAAATACTCTGTATCCATCAAAAGTTATGGGCGAAATACCTTTGTTTTATGACAGTCAAATATGTCTAAATGACGTTAATGATTGATTGATGACAGACTAAATAAACTTTATTGCCATAAGGTAAATAAGAATAACTTTGATGTATGGATAAGGGACAACTTCTACCAGATATTACCTCCCTATAAGTGCACCTACCTCATCCTTTCTCTGCAGAGAATGCCTTAGACATTAAGTCCGCTGAAGCATATTTTTGTGCAAAAAGTTAAAGTGAATAAATAAAACAT